CTGCATTTAAGACGACTTCCAGCCGAGAATTTTTCGGCGGCGGCTGTTTGCTGAAATCCTTCGGCGGCTCAGCTCAGCCGCTTAAGCCGACACGGCGCAGGTCTTTGGATGTCTGTTGGTTTTATTTTGTTTTTTATACCCTTCACCTTCGTGAGAAGGGTATATATAAGTTTGTCATTTCGTTTGCAATTTCCAAAATATAATTTTTCGACCCTATAAAGTATATATTCTGAATCCTTATAGATAGCGGAGGCCATTAAGCCATGTCCGTCTGCCTGTCTGTCTGTCCGTCTGTCTGTCTGTCTGTTGAAATCAGTTTTCTGAAGACCCCAGATATCTTCGGGATCCAAATCTTCAATAATTCTATCAGACATGCTTTCGAGAAGTTTCCTATTTAAAATAAGCCAAATCCGTCTATAGACAACGGAGATATAAGTAAAAATCCGAGATAACCTCTGAAAATTTTATAAAAAATAAGCAACAACAACACTGCTTATTCATTGCGTTGTGTATTTTGTTTTTTTTTTTTTTTTTTTATTATTATTTCGTTTCGTATATTTGAATGGCTGTGTGTTTCATTGCCATGTGTACTCTGTCAGTTTACTTTTACAGACTGACTATAAGCTAACTACAATGTAATGCAGAGCTGTCCAGAAATTTTGTATTTGGCAACGTAAAGAACCGACTTTTAAATACTAACTACAAGCTAACTATATTGTAATGCAGAAGTGCCTCAAAATTATCTGGAGAGAATTAATTGTATTTCAACATGTTTTCTCTTGTTTCCCTATTATTATGATTTTATTTGTTAACTTTAGTAGACTGACTATAAACAAACAACAATGTAATGCAGAAATGTTCCAAAATTTGGTATTTATTAACGTAAACAACCGACTTTTAAAGACTAGCTACAAGCTAACTATCATATAATGCGGGAGTACCCCAAAATTATCTGGAGAGCATTTTGTTTCGACATGTTTTCTCATGTTTCTTTATTATTTGGAATTTTGTTTTACATTTTAGTCATTTTCTTGTATACGTTGTGAAATTAGAGTCAGTAAATTGGAAAAATTAATTATAAAAGGTTAAATATTTCAAAACTCGGTCCCTAAAATCTAAATTCTGCTGATTAATACTGTAAATATAATACATTAACAGTTAACATTACACATAAAATTTAAAAATTTATTTTAGATTTGGATCAATGGGACTCATGGAAATAATGAACAAATCATTCATAATTTTATGGATACCGGTGTTATTATTAGTTCCCCTGCAGAAAACTGATGTCTATTAATTTTAACGAACTAATATCATAACTTGTATTAAAGCGAAATGTAATTTAGATAACTAGTAGTTAAATTTTAAATATATTTAATTAAAATGTAATTAATTAATACAGTAGGGAATACAAAAGAAAACTATTACTTGACTTTTCTGCAACTAACTTTAAGTTAGTTAATAAAGAGTTACCTTTAAGCTAATTTTTTAGTAACGAACTTTAAGCTAGTTGAAAAGTCATGCAGAGTCGGACAATTGACTACTACGTAGGACATCGCCATGTTAAGATAGTCAGTTGGCTCCATTAAAAATAATCCAAGAATCAACCATAACTAGTTGATGAAAAAGTCGGCTTTTAATGCATTTAAAGTTAGTTGAGTTGCTGGCAGGGTTTCTTCAATTAAATTGCACTGAAAAAAATATTTGGTTATTTTTAATTTTGAAGATTAAATTGCATTACTGTAAAATGCGAATATTTATAAACAAAATGTAATCAATGTACATAAGAATGATAATTTCTTCACATAGAAACAACATTTCAAATTAAAATGTACAAAAAAAGTATGAAACAAGATGAACTTATTTACTTTCATTGTTATGCATTCTAGAAAATTTGTAAATTATGCTCTTGTTTTTGCAAGTTGTTTTTGTTTTTTTAAGTTGTGTTTGCAAATTCTTTAAACCATTGGCGGCCAAACATGCCCCTGCGGGCATTCTGTTATTCTCACTCATACACATGCAATACGAATGTTCTCAGCAACAAAACAAACTATACACAAAACAAAAACAATTTAATTTAGTTGGTCTCTTTATGAAATGATACACAGAGAATATTTTGAAAAGCCGTTACAAATAAATGTTTGTATAAATACTTTTGATAGATAGATTTATTATGTAAATAATTATTTACAATTATATTTGTATTGTCATTTATTCAAGCAATTAATCGCCAAAATTTATCGATTAACGGTTAATCATTTGAACACTTATAGACGGACATACATACATACATTTGTACATAAATACATCAACATATGCATTAATACATTCTTACATCAATATATGCATCAATACATCGTTTCGTCGATACATACATCGATGTATACATTCCCTCTGTTTGTTCATTTATAATACAAATAATATGAATAACACAAATAAGTACAAACATATAATTTTTTTCAGTGCAAAGCACACATATTTTCATTTATGTTCTCTTTCATATTTTACACTACAACATATGCATTTTAAAAATTCTCTTTCTGGCCACCAATGCTTTAAACACGTCTGCGATCGTGTTGTGTACATGTAATTTGCCGAAAATATTCGTGGTCAGAACAATACTAGCGCCGACGTCTGGTATATAAGTATAAGTTTGTCATTCCGTTTGTAATTTCTATAATATAATTTTCCGACCCTATAAAGTATGTATATTCTGGATCCTTATAGATAGCAGTCGATTTAGCCATGTCCGTCTGACCGTCTGTCCGTCTGTCTGTGTGTATGTTGAAATCAGTTTTCAGAAGACCCCAGATATCTGCGAGATCCGAATTTTCAATAATTCTATCGGAAATACGATCGAATAGAACGCTATTTAAAATCAGCCCAATCGGTCCATAAATAACGAAGATATGAGTAAAAATCCGGGACCACCTCTGAAAATTTCATGAAAAATTTAAATTTTTCGTGCATGCTTATACAAAACAATAAACAAACAAAAACAAAACACAGTATCAAACGGTGAATTTTTTTGTTATTGTGATTTCTTGTTTATAAACAGAAAGCAACGAATGAACATTACGTTACGTTGTTATTGGCTAGAAACGTGAAATTAAGTATGTAGAGCCTGGATTAGGAGAAAACACATTAAAGGGGACATTTTGGTACGTTTTCGTTCTAAAAAAGGTACTTTTTGAATTTTCTATAATATTTAACCTAGAAATATGAAATTAAGTTTGTAGAGCCCGGATTTGGCGAGAACACATAAAAGGTGACTTTTGGTACTTTTTCCTTCTACAAAAGGTACTTTTTTAATTTTCCATAATACTGAGCCTAGAAACACAAAATTTAGCATGTAGGTCCTTGACTAGGTAAGAACCTATAAAAGGGGACTTTTTGGTACTTTTTCATTGTACAAAAGGTACTTTTTGAATTTTCTATAATATTCAATCTAGAAACATGAAATTAAGTATGTAGAGCCCGGATTAGGTCAGAACACATAAAAGGGGACTTTTTGGTATTTTTTCGTTCAACAAAAGGTACTTTTTAAATATTCTATAATATTGAACCTAGAAACATGAAATGAAGTATCTAGAGTCTGGATTGGTACTTTTTCGTTCTTCAAAAGGTACTTTTTGAAATTTCTATAAGTGAGAACCCATAAAAGCAGACTTTTTGGTACCTTACCGTTTTGGAATTGGTATTTTTTGATTTTTTGTAATAAAATTCGTACTGACTGTTTTTAACACATCATGGTGCAGGGTATATAAGATTCGGCACATCCGAATATAGAACTCTTACTTGTTTTTGTTTACTTCGTTTCGTATGTTTGGAAGTCTGTTGGTTTTACTTCCTTGTGTATTTCGTGTTTTGTGTGTTTTTTTTTTCGTTTAGCGTTGTTGTTTATTTTGTTTAGCTATTACTATAATAATGATATTGTCGGGAAAATGAAATAAATTTAGATTTTATAAAATCGAAAATTTTTAAATACACTATGGTGAAGGGTATATAAGATTCGGCACAGCTGAATATAGCACTCTTACTTGTTTAATTTTGTAAACTTCCAAAACCGATTACGTGTAGAAATGAAGACCTAGAGTTTTACAATTAAGCATTTTTTTAAATACACTATGGTGAAGGGTATATAAGACTCGGCACAGCCGAATATAGCGCTCTTGTTTAATTTTGTAAACTTCCAAAACCGATTACGTGTAGAAATGAAGACCTAGAGCAAAGAATAAATAAGAAATGAAACTGTTGTCAAAAGTACCTAAGTCTACTGTCATCCGGTACCTAACTCTAAGAATGTATTAGTAGAATTCTCAAGTCAACATAGTTGCAAAAAATCGTATTGAAAAATATTGAAAAAAAATATTACATTTCAATTTATACTTTGAAAGGTTTCTTAAGATATTTTCCACATATTTTATCTACAAACATTTTATAAACACGTCTATTTGTTTTTTAATCTATAATATTGAAAAAATAAATTATTTATTTGAAATATCTTTTTCGTTTACCATACGAAAATTTACAACATTGTTTTTTTTAGTTTTAATTTCAACCAACAAAAATTCAATGTCAAAAAATAAAAAATATTTTTTTTTCGTTTATAAAAAATATATTATTTTCGGGCTATTAAATGTGTTTAAATTGTTCAAAAAATTATAAAATATAATGTTAAGTGATAAAAAATATTTCAAAGTGCTATTATCCTCAAATTTTCGCGAAAAAGTTTTGAAGTTTGGAGAGAGAATAAAATGTTTACATATGTGTTGGATTTACACAGCACTCGTCTGTGAGAAGAGCGTAATGTTATTGTTGTAAAAAAATGACAGCGTTTCACTTCTTGTTTATTCTTTGACCTAGAGTTTTACAATTAAGCAATTTTTAGGCTGGAAGTGTTGTGTATATAATCCTGTAAAAAATTTGTTTGACATTTTACTCTTACCACAGTTATTAACAATTTAGTTCAATTTCAATGGAATTAAAAAACTTTGATATTTGCTCATATGTATATGTATTTAAATACATATGTAGGTACTATATATTTCATAATCATAATTACAAATCACAAGAAATAACGAATATTTTAAATTAAAAATAATCATAATTACAAATCACAAGAAATAATGAATATTTAAAATTAAAAATGTGTGCAATTGTAGCACAATAAGTATGAATAATTTTATCTTAATAATAAAATCGTTTGTTGACTTTTATCGGACGTATTTCCGCTAATAACATCCATTCATACATAAACACAATAATGTGTATGTAATAGCAGAAATCTATGTACAGTAGACATTTTCTAAATCATTGAAGACGCTGAAAGTGAAATAAAAAAATAATTGTTTGATTTTTGGTCCCACACTAGAATTCAATTTGAATTGTTTAGTAGATAAAAAGATTAGATTAGTGATCGTGAGTAATAGTAGTAGCCTAGGAAGAATAGAATAAAAATCTATAGATATTGATATTAAGGAAAAAAACCATTTGGTGTAAGTACAAGACTAGAATTTCCGCTTTTCAAAAGTCCTCGTATTAGAGCGAGATCATCCGGTGTTAGGGACCAGCCGCTAAGTTGACCAACAGACTGCAATTCAGGACATCTTTCCATTAATATCTATAAATAAAAGTAGAAAGAAAATAAATTACATATTTAAGCTACTTTCACAATGCACTATGGTTCAGATAAACACTTTTTTTGACAAAACTAAAAATGTGGGAAAAATTATTTTATGGTATTCTAGATCTATTTTGTTAAAAATGTAAGTATTGTAATGACAAAACAAAAAGGTATTTTACATGGTTTAACGAAAATTTAAATTCCGAAACCCATGAAAATATTGTAAAAATGACTATGAGAATTTTTGTCATTGCATGCAAACAGAATGAAAACAACAACAACATACAGAATCATATGTTATTGTTACATTTAGTTTGATTATTTGTGAAAATAACCTGTATTGCTATGTTAATGCCAAAGTTAACGATCGGAGATTGTGTATATGATGTAAAATTAAAATTTAAAAAAGATAAGAAAAAATCAAATTTCAACTAAATTAAATGATTAAAAATTGAAAACACAATAAATTAAAACATTGTAAATAATTTAGTTTTTTTTTTTTTAATTTGTAATAAAATAAGTATAAACTCTTTTTAAAACACACTAAGGGTTTATAAGATTCAGCACAGCCGAATGGTCTACACAGGGAAACTTTTTTTGGGAAATTTTTGATTTTGTATGTGAGAGAATAAGAAAAATATCATTCGTCTCTCTCGCGATACGAAGTTTCTTGTACTAAGAAACTTGTTTTGTTTTCTTATTCTTCTCATTCGTACAAAAACAAATCAATGCAATTAATACATAGTTGCTGAAACATAAGTTTTTATGTGTGGACATTAAGAAAGCTTTAAAAGAGAATTAAGAAAAAGTTTCTCAACTGAAGTTTTCCTGTGTAGACCAGCACTTTTTGAACTTACCTCAATAGATTGAACAGTTAAATTTGGCGCTAAGGTAAACCAAACATCTTCTAGTGCATTAAAGTCATGTTCAATAAAAATGCTGAAATTATAAGTTTAAATTGTTATTATGTACATATATATACTGTGAGTCAATTAAGTTATTTGCCTATGCAAAAATTTATACATTTATAAAACAACTTAATTTAAACAATTATTTTTATCAAGATGAAGCATATAGAGGGACTATATTCAATAATCGCTATCTGTAATTTGAATGATAATGAGATTTTGATGGCAAAATATCCAGCAAACAGTCCCGCATCAGTGATATAAATTTCAAGGAAAATTAAGGATGCAAAACCCTATATCTATTCCAAAAATTGCTTTAAACTCTATCCTTTTGGATAATTTTCTGTTGCAAAACAAGTTTCCTAACTAATTTGGACATGCTGAACATAATAAAACATAAGTAAAAACATTTAAAAAAATATTGATTGATATTAAATCAAATAAAAATGTTATATTTCTATGAAAAACTCTCTATCTTTTGGTAAAAAAGCTCTATCTGATATAAATTTGTAAATAATTTTGCCCCTTTAGGGTTTATGTTCGTAAAAATATTTTCTAGAAGAAAAATAAACAGTTTTTTGCTCTTCTGAAAACTTGCATTATTTTAGATATAGACTATTGAATATAGTCCCTCGATATTTATTCTTCTATTTTTCAAAGAATATCTTAATTTTCTTCCATATAAAGGAAAATCGTAATATCACGATCAACAAAATGTTTAATAAAATGTGAATATTTATTTGTCCATTACAATACAATTACAAATTATATTCTAACCTAATATACCGAGCATATTAAAAAGGGCATATTAAAAAGGGCGATAAATCAACCACTGGCTTTTGAATATGTAAAAATATTATAACCCAAGGAACAAAATTAGTATTGGCACAAATAATTTTGGACATTTCTAACCCGATAGTATATTATCATATACCTACCTATGTATGAATATTTTATTTTGAAAAATAACAAATAATTTTGAAATGGATACAAGGTATACTATAATCTCAATGGACTTGAATCCAAGGACCGTATTATTTTATTTTAGTATATTTTTTTAAATATATTTATCCATCAAGATATTTATTTATTGAAAAAATATTTTCATTTCAATCAAAAACAGATTCATCGTGTATGATATTTATCAGTAAAGTTTGAATTTATTTTCAACTTTTTTCATCAAATGAAAAAATATTTAACAAAAACAAATATTTGAATTTCCGTAAAAAATGAATGATCCATTAAAGTTATCTTAAAACTACTCTCCTGTAAACATGATTGGAGTACATGATTAAGTAGTGTAATGTAAACACTTTGAAAACAACAGGGTCCTTTGTCTACATTACATAGGAGCATGTTGGGAATCATGTACGCCTACAATTTTATAAAGGGAGAAGTTTTGGGATTACTCTGATGTAATGCATAGATTGATTACGTGGTCCTCACATAGGACAACAAAATGTTAAATGGAGTAAGTTTTTTCCATATACATACATCTTTGAGGAGTACTCTTTATACGCGTTTTATTCAAATTACACATATACAATTTTCATATAAAACTATTGAAAATTTTTATTGAAATCAAATGATGGAATATTACTGCTGCGGGTAGTCACCTTGAGTCTTCGGGCACGGTGCAGAGACTTAAGCATCTTCATGTTGGGAGCGGCAGGTACCTAGGAAATTCCGGCAACCATGGTGGGATCCTAAACTAATGCGGCTAAGGAAAAAATGTAGGAAATTATTTAATAAAGCGAAGAGGGATCAAAACCCGTTAAGCTGGGACAATTATCGTCAAAGCTTCAGCACTTTCAAGAGGGAAACCAGACGAGCTAAGAAGGAATCTTTGAAGCGTTTCTGTGAGGAACTGGAGAGTACCACGCCTACGTAAGGTGCTATCCAAAGACCCCGGTACGCCTGGGTTTCTGATGAAACCGGATGGTAACTTTACTGAAAGTAGCACCGAAACTCTGGAACTGCTTATGGAGACACATTTTCCGGGTTGCAGCGATGATGAAAATGCCATAGCTAATTATGATATTTAGGAGCAGCCTGGAAACAGGATACATTCCTAAAGTATGAAAAGAGGTTACAGTGGTATTATCCCTAAAGCGGGAAAAGTTAACCATACTACCGCCAAAGACTATAGACCGATCAGTCTGTCATCGTTTTTATTGAAAACATTGGTCGACATCCATTTCAGAAACATCATCTCTCCTGATACTTTCTGTGGGGTACAACACGCATACTTGAAAGGGAGGTTGGTGGAGACAGCCTTACAAGACATCGGAACTTTAGAGAAGACACTTGACATAAAAGAATATGTTATGGCATCTTTCTTGGACTATAGCGTATAAAAAATTGGACAGAAAACATGCTCAAGAGCAGGGCCATTAACTCTAATATGGGTATTGGCAAGACAAGGAATGCTGTGACAAGGGGCACACCACAAGGTGGTGTCGTCTCTCCACGCCTGTGAAATCTTGTCGTAAAGAAAATTCTTTTCAGACTCATATGCTGACGATGTTGTGCTTCTTATTCAAGGGAAATTTCTTCCTAAAATAAGTGAACTCATGGAATCAGCCCTCAGCGTTCTACTATCATGGGCCAAGGAAAACAGTCTGGGTGTCAACCCGACCAAAACTGAACTGGTTCTTTTCACCAGGAGGTACAAAATTCCAGAATTCAGACTCCTGCGTTTGGATGGTACCATTCTGAATACCTCAAGCGAAGCCAAATATATTGGCGTAATTTTATACTCTAAGCTCACGTTGAAACGAAATGCTGTGAGTCGAATGAAGAAGGCACTATATGTCTTCTATATATGTAAGAAAATCTTTGGGAAAAGATGGGGTCTTAAACCATACATTGTGCACTAAATGTACACCGCGGTCATAAGACCTATTTTGTCCTACGAAGTTCTTGTTTGTTGGAGAGCGGTGGATACCAAGACTTACCTCTCTATTCTAAATAAGGTACAAAGATTAACATGTCTTGCAATCACTGGCTGTTTGAGCTCCACCCCTCAGGCTAGTCTAGAGACTAGCCTTGATTCATATATCAAATGCATTTCTGCTAAATCTGCTCTACGACTTAAACAGTCGAACGGACTGAAGCACGACCGCATTGGTCATGGCACCATCCTACAAAAGAAAGGCAGGCCAATCATGGGGCAGGAAACATACTACATTCTATCTACACTGAATTTTAATAGGTCATTCAAGACCAGAATACCGACAAGGGATCTCAATCTATACTGATGGCTTAATGACAGAAAGGGGCACGGGATCGGGAATCTTCTCTGAAAAACTAAACCTTCTACTGTATCTTCGAATACCTGACACCTACACGGTCCTTCAGGCAGAGATATATGTATGCCATCTGTACAGCCCCGAGAAGAATCCGGGAACTAAATCTCGAAAATTGGACTATACATATATACTTGGATCAATCAAAGTTCTTAACTTCAATGTTAAGTCGAAATGTCTTCTCAGTTGTATTCAATCATTGGCACAACTGACACAACATCACGTTGAGTTGATATAGGTTCCAGGACATGAGGGAATCAGGGGAAATGAAATATCTAATGAATGCGCAACCAAAGGGTCGACCCTAGACTTAACCCTTGCGCAAATGGATATTCACACTCCTCTGACGACCCTATCAAAATTGATAGATGAATGGGCTTTGAGTGAGATGGAACTCAGGTGGTCAAATATCACCACTTGTAGAATATAGAGACTGCTCTGGCCCACTCTTACAACTCTTAGTAAGAACTTGATTAGGCTTCTACAGGGTACTGTATGATTAGAAATATGTCGGAACGTATGGGCTTCCCACGTTATAGCTACTGTAGAGCACAGACTACTCTATCTTGGTAGAGCTTTTTTCCATGATCTTGACAGTCTCAGAGATGCGTTACTAGTAAACATGTTCGGTTTTATTAGAAGCACCGGCTGGTTTTCACGGATACAGAACGAACCAAGTAGTTAACGAAATTAGGGAGGGAAATCGTTCTCTCAATATTAGGGAATGGCAATTCTAAGGGTATCACAATGGCCCACAAGGTCTCCGAGTGAACTCGCTTACTAGCGAGCAAGCCACGTAACCTAACCTAAATAATTGAAAATAAAAATGGTTTTTGATATTTATTTTAATATAATTTTTTAATTTTTCATCATAAGGGATATTTATATTTGAAAATAAAAATTATTATAATATTTTTTTAACAAATAAAAATTAATTTTCAACAAAAGAGATATTTATATGATAAAATATTTAAAATAAAAAGTTTCCGGTTCCTTGCTTGAATCTATAGAAATAAAATAGTCTTAGATTTTGATACTTTTCTCTTGATAAACGAAAAGTATTACGGTAACCCTTACTCTTTATGTAGTCTACGTAGATTTTATTTGAATAGTAAAATATTAGTTCTTATTCAATAAAACTAACATTAAATACCATCCTAGCCCTTCCAAGTATGGGGACATCGGCGTATACCATTATGGAACTATTACATATTAAACTCTCATTTCTCTCAAATTTTGAATGCTTTATTTTATGAATAGTTATTCTTGATTTGGGTTCTAAATATATTTTAGTGTGTGTATTGGCTGAAAAATATTAAATTTTTGGACCTTATATTATGATAACCACCAATATTTGTAAATTTATTAAATTATAATATTGGTTCCATGAACCTAAGTTTTATTTAAACTATGTTTAAATTTAAACATAGTTTAATTCCTAATTCGTATTTGGTCTTTGAAGAATATAAATGTGCGTTTCAGTGGCTTTCCTTGGGTAAAAGTCGATCTTCTTTGGCAGTCAAAGATTTTGAAAGACTACTTAGTATTTTTGTTAATGATTCTGCGTCTCATTGATAGAATTACTATATTTTATATTATTTGATCACATTGATTAAACATATCATCATAAATATATTTCAGTGATTTTACTTGTTCTAAATATCGAAACTAATTTTTATACCCTTCACCCTCCTGAGAAGGGCTGTAATTTCCAAAATATAAT